ATAAAGAACGTAAAATGAACTTGGACGTCAACCATGCCGCATTTAGTCCTGAATGTTTGCTCTATAAAAGACTTTTTGAACAGAAGAAAAGCAGCTTGCGTTTCAATAAATAGCAGCCAAGTTCCAGGAATGTGAATCAATTTGATTTTTTATATTTGAATATTGCGGGGTTGTCAACAAACTACGTAGCATTACGTCAGATTGTTGAGGAAAAACGTCCTCTTTTAGTTTTATTATCTGAAACTCATATTGTAGAAACTGAAGCTTTTGATCAGTATAGTATTCCGGGATATATTGTTGCTGCTTGTTTATCACATTCTAGACACACTGGCGGTGTTGCTATTTATGTCAAAGAATCAATTCAATTCGACCTTCGAATCAACGAAGTTATCGATGGTAACTGGTTCTTGGGCATTACAGTTGTGCGTGGCATGAAGATGGGTAATTATGGTGTTTTGTATCATTCTCCCAGTTCTAGTGACCAGCGTTTTGTTGATGTTTTAGAGAACTGGCTAGAGACATTCCTTGATTCAAGTAAATTAAATATATTAGCTGGTGATTTTAATATTAATTGGCGTGACAACCATAATTCGAATCATTTGAAGCGTTTAGCTGATTTTTTCAATTTAAAACAAACGGTAGATGAGTATACGCGTATTTCCAGGCACAGTAGAACTTTAATTGACCACGTTTATTCCAATTTTGATTCCATTTGTTCAGTTCCGGATGCTGATTTGAAAATAACCGATCATGAGACCTTAGTGATTAATGTATTAGATAATATCAATAATAACGATGACTTAGTCAAATTGAAGTGCTGGAGGAAATATTCGAAACAGGCTGTTTCAAATCTTGTTGAGAGAAGCGTGGATTTTCCATTCGCGGCCGGTAATTTAGATGAATCTGCAGCTGTTCTAACTAACACTTTGAAAACGTGTACCAATCAATTAGTTGAGCAAAAGTTTGTTTCTTTGAAAAACTCGAACAGCTGGTACAATTTGGAACTTTTGCGTCTTAAACGTAAGAGGGACAAATGGTACAAAAAGTTTTGCAGATCAAATAATGATAATCATTGGAATAGGTACACAATCGCGCGTAATAAATATTCACAATCGATAAAACAAACTCGTTGTGAATATGTCCAGAGGAAGATTGATCAGCATCAAAACAACAGCAAAGAGTTATGGAAAATTTTGAAATCTTTATTAAAACCTAGTAATTGCAAACCGCGGTCCATAACTTTTAATGGCACATTAGAACAGTCAGAACCAGTAATTGCATCTATGTTTAATGATTATTTTGTCGAAAGTGTTTCATTGATTAATCAATCCATTGAATTGGTCGATGAACCTGACGAAATAAAACAGCCAGTTAATAGTAGTTGTAGATTTGAAGGTTTTCACCAAATTACTTTAGATGAACTTAGAGTTATTTGCTTTTCATTAGGAAAATCGGCTGGAGTAGATAATGTTAATTCTAGAGTTATTCAAGATTGCTTTCATGTCATTGGCCACATCTTGCTGGACCTTATTAATGAATCTTTGCAGACTGGACATGTGCCACAAATTTGGAAGGAATCCTTAGTGGTTCCTATTCAAAAAGTTGCTGGAACGATTAAAGCCGAAGAGTTTCGTCCCATCAACATGTTGCACACATTAGAGAAAATTTTAGAACTTGTTGTTAAAGGCCAGCTGTTGGAGTATTTGAATAGCAACTCTTTGTTGATACCAGAACAATCAGGATATCGGGAAGGTCATTCCTGTGAAACTGCGTTGAATTTGTTGTTAGCAAAGTGGAAAGACAACTTGGAGCGTAAAGATACGACTGTTGCTGTTTTTTTGGATCTGAAACGCGCTTTTGAAACAATTTCTAGGCCCTTACTGTTAAGTACAATCAAGCGCTTTGGAATTACGAGTACTGCTTATAAATGGTTTGAAAGCTATTTATCTGACAGAACTCAACGGACTGTTTTTAATGATTCTGTTTCCAGTCCCGTGGGGAATAACCTTGGAGTGCCCCAGGGAAGTGTATTAGGGCCTCTTTTATTTATTATGTATATTAATGATTTGCGACGCGTTTTACGATTTTGCGACATTAATCTTTTTGCAGATGATACTGTGTTATTCATTGCAGCTAAGGATTTAGAAGTTGCCGTCTCATATTTGAATGAAGATTTGCGTTCTCTAAGTAGATGGTTGAAATGTAAGCAGTTGAAATTAAATACAAGTAAAACTAAATTCATGGTAATTTCGCGGAACCGAGTAAATGATAATGTCTCCGTGGTAATTGATGATGAGGCTATTGATCGCGTTCGGGAGATTAAATATCTTGGCGTGATTATTGATGACAAACTTAAGTTCAACTCTCACATTGACAATGTCATCAAGAAAATTGCCAAGAAGTATGGAATTCTATGTCGACTGAAAAACGATTTAACTATTGCCAGTAAAATACAGCTATACAAATCAATCATCTCTCCTCATCTAGACTTTTGCCCATCCATTTTATTTCTAGCCAATGAAACACAAATATCGAGATTACAGCGTTTGCAGAATAAAATAATGCGTTTGATTTTGAGATGTAATAGATTCACTTCCTCAACTTTGATGCTGGACGCTTTAAAATGGCTGTCAGTGAAGCAAAGAATAGTTTATTTGACTATGGTGTTCATTTTTAAAGTAGTAAATGGTTTGCTGCCTCGATATTTGTGTGATCGAATTGAAAGAGGAAGTGATTTTCATAGATATAATACTAGAAACGCGGATGAAATAAGAACACCACATTTCTTGACTTGCGCTTCACAGAATTCATTGTATTTTAAAGGAGTAAATGTTTTCAATTCGATGCCTAGACATATTAAACGTGCAACAACATTAGCAGAATTCAAGAGACATTGTATTTCACACGTTAAAACTGTCTTTTGAACAGTTATCCAGTGATTTTTTTTTTTTTTTTTTTTATGAATGGACGAAGTATGTATCTTGACGAAGTTATTTATAACGGATTATTTTGTATGGATAGCTGTCATAACGACTTTTTAATAATTATTGTAGCACTGCAAAAACTATTTTGTTCGCCACGATGGTGATGATGGATTTTTTTTTATATTTGAATTAAAGTAGTAGTTAAAAAAAAAAAGTAGTAGTCTACAAAGGTTTGAGCCTCGCGCGCGTATTACGGATATAGAGGACTGAATTTAACATTTGATAAAAAAAAATGCAACTTTGAAGCTTATTTGGAAGATACTTTGAGTTAGTATTAAGTTTTCTGGCTGAATGTCGGGGGTTCGTGAGCATTCCTGACATTGCTGAAAATTATAATAGCATCATTGCGGGGTTGCTAGTGTATAGGATGCTTTGTTGATTGTTCATTAACTCTTGATTGCTTGTAATACTTATGAATATTCTAGGTGGACAAAAAGGCGAACTAAGAGGTGGACGCCTAAGCTTTTTCACATTTATGTATATTGCTGTGAAGCAACTGTAAAGTCTAGAGGGAATTTATATCTGTAACTGTAACCAGCTCGTTTTTGTTTGCTAACCTGGTTAAAATGTTTATATTTAATTATCTTAAAGATAAATCGTCCAGCTCAAACCTTTGTAGGGGTAAGAGGTGGGACCATCATCATCATCATCCAAGTATCTGGAATATAGTGAAAATCATACCTATCCGCAAACCCGGCAAGGACTTAACGCTAGCTTCAAGCTACAGACCGATCAGCCGCCTTTCAGCGCTGGGAAAATTGCTCGAGAAACTTATTCTCACTTCTTTGCTCAAGTTTGTCTAGGAGCACAACATTCTCCTACCGGCACAGTTCGGATTCAGGAAGGGGCACTCCACAAATCATCAGCTAGTACGGGTGATCAATAACATCCGAAGTAACAAGAATGTATCCAAGTCCACAGCCATGGCATTGTTAGACGTTGAGAAAGCGTTTGACAATGTCTGGCACAATAGGCTTTTATACAAGCTTTGTAACTTCAACTTTCCTTTGCATCTTGTTAAAATCACCCGTAACTACCTCCAGCAAAGGTCGTTCAGGGTATCGTTGAATGGCTGCCTTTCAAACACGTTCTCCATCCCAGCAGGTGTTCCGCAAGGAAGTCTGTTGGGACCTTTGCTTTACAACATCTACACTTCTGACATTCCTCCCCTCGGAGACGGTTGCTTGCGTGTTCTTCCTGTTCGCAGATGATACCGCAATAACCGTCAAGGGTAGGATGCCTCGCGAAATAACAAACAAGCTCCAACGATGCCTTGACGCCTTTGCTGATTATGCCACCACGTGGAAAATCAAAATCAATGCCTTCAAAACACAAACAATCATGTTCCTCCATCGGCAATCGCCCAAACTAAAACCGGCTCCCTCTTGTACTGTAATCATGGATGGCACAAGGGTTGAGTGGTCCGCCGAAGAAACCTATTGTGGGATGTTGTTTGACGAAAAGATCCTATTCCGCTCGCATGTGGAGAAAATCGTAGTCAAGTGTCCCGCCTTGGTTAGGTGTCTGTATCCGCTGATTTGCCGCAGATCCCGCCTCTCAAGGGTGAACAAACTGGCTGTCTACACACAAATTATAGCACCTGCGATCCTCTACGCAGCTCCGGTGTGGGAATCATGTGCACAGACTCACAGGAACAAAATCCAGGTCGTTCAGAACAGAGTGCTGAGGATGATCCTTGATCGTCCCTTTGACACAAGAATTTCAGACCTCCATTAAGAGGCGAACGTTCCAAAATTAGATTTCAAAATTGATGGCATTAAGACTAGGTTTGTACAGAAATGTATTACATCAGAACATGGGTTACTAGATTTTATTTAGAAATCAGGGTGCTTCGGTGCTAGCTGCAGAGTTGGTTTTACCAGTTCCGCGACTCGTCTAGAAAGATTAACCCTCAATGCCATCATCTGACTCCCAAACAAATGCAGCCGGATTTGATTGCTTGGAATTTCGGACAACCGATTGCACGTTTCTCCTATATGCAATAATAAGTGCTATCTATATTTTGATTCTGTTACAACAAACGAAAAACTAGTACCTAGTAAGGTATATGTAGTCATAAATCTGTAAAAAGTGTTACCTTCAGCTTAATTTCTTATAGTACCTATTTGTCCAAAGGGACGTGTTAAAGTACTAATAAACTGTCCATCGAAAACATAAAAGTCGAAAATGCATGTTCGCGCTAGTACTACTACACTGGTACGCTAGTGATTGTGCTGCCTTGTTTAGATCATCCCCATCCACCACGCTACTACTCTTTGGACACGACAACGTTCTTCCGTCCGACCTGAACCATCATGCTTCCCTTGACCGTGGATCCGCCGGTAACGTCATAGGCAAAGCTCAATCCGACGGCAAACTCCTTCGGGAAGCAAACGTCGTTGGCGCAGAGGTTCAGTTTGAAGTTGACCGTGCCCTGAACCGGTTTCTGCTGCTCGGTGCCCTTCGGGACGACTACGGTCAAACTGAGTCCGTCGTTCAGCGAACTGATGGAGCCGTTCATCGTATCGCAGCGCCACTTGTCCGACGGAAGCAAGAGGGACCACTTTTGCGGTGCCCCTTGCGTTAGTTTAACGTTCGATTCCAGGTAACCGAACTCGAGCTTTAGGAGAACCTTTCCACCGTCGGGAAGGATTTTGAAAGTGTTTTCGTACGAGTAAATTTCTCCGGGATTATCCAGGTGATCGGCTTCGGCGTTGTTAAATCGGACCTTCAGGGGACGGATGCTATTTTCGGACAAATCGGCAATCATAATCTGATGGTTGTTGGTATCGGCAATGTAGAGATAGCGTCCGGAGGGGTCTAGGCAAAGCCCGGCCGGTTCGTTGAATTGCTTAACGGAGCTCCCTTCCTCCTGGAAGGCGCAAGTCGTTGCCACGTTGGTGCTGGCATTAATCTTCTTGATCTTGTGATTGTACGTGTCGGTCACGTAGATGCAGTTGTCTTTCAGGTTGTATGCCACTCCAAGAGGGTGTTGGAACTTGGCAGCGTACTGCTTACCGTCGACGTCACCGAAGGAAAATAGATCCTACAAATGAGATTTCAAGTATTTAACGAGCTACAAACAATGTCTCCATCCGAGTGCTTACCAATGGATTGCGATCACCTCCAGCGACGGCCAGCACCTTCCCATCACTCAATGACATCTTTCGAATCGAGGAACTCTCACTATCAGCGAGGTACAGCTCCTTGCCATCCTTGTTGATTGCCAATCCAGATGGTTGAGCAAATGCCGCATTGTTCGGATAAGAATTGTTCCTATTCTCCTCCCTACCATTTCCAGCAATGGCCAAACAACTGCCAGCTGAGTATTTCTTAAACTTCCACCAGATCGTTTCCTCCAGAAACAGGGCCCAAATCTGATGGATTCCAGCCATCGCAATGAAAACTACATCCTTTAAAGGAGTTTGCGATTCGTCCGCATGGAACGACATGTCCAAATCCCTAGTGCGGTACACGGCCACATCCCACGGAGAGGAAATGATCTGATCTCGGCCAACTTTTCCACCAATTCGATCGCAACCTTGCTGCCCATTTCCGGCAACGGTCGTAACTTGTCGATTCTTGAGGTCAATCTTGCGAACTGCGTGATTTTCGTTGTCAGCTACGAAAAAAATCTCATCACTTAGAAATGCCACACCTTGGGGAGCGTTAAAACGGGCTTTTCGGAAATCTCCATCCACGAATCCCGATTTTTTGCCTCCGATTCGGTGAAGAATCATTCCGTCGTTGTTGATGACCAGGATCCGATGATTGCCAGAGTCGGAAATTGCATACAGCGGGTTATCGTTGTTCTCGCCTCCACGGTACGAGCAGCAAATCTTGCTTGGGAATTGCAAATGACTCGTTTCGATAAGATTCGTTGCAACGTTGATCGGAAGCGTATGATCCAGAATGGCTCCCTTGTCCTTGTAGAACTTGAGCGCTGAGCTTACGTACAGCTTCAGATCGTCAAAGTGTCCTTCGCCCATGACGACAAAGATTGGATTCGCCCGAGGACCCAGAATCATCAGGGTCGGCCAGCATTGCACACGAAGATTCCTCCACATTGAGGAAACATTATCGTTCACCACGGGGTGACTAATCTCATATCGCTGAACGGCGGACAAGATGTTCGCCGAATCCTTTTCATTCTCGAACTTGGCGCTATGGACGCCAATCACAACCAGGCCATCCTCGACGGAATACAGATGCTCGAGACGTTTCAGATCCGGCAGAATGTGCATACAATTAATGCAACAGTACGTAAAGAAATCCAGCACCACTATCTTCCCACGTAGGCACCCATCGAAGGACAACGGTTCCGTCACGTTGAACCAATCCAATCCTTCCTTGAAGTCCTTGATACTCTTGCTTTCCCGATCGGCGCTCTTCAGATACTCAGCCACCAGCTTCCGTTTCTCACCCGGTCCGGACGCTTCCCATAGATCGGTCGACAGCTTGCTACAGTTATAGGCCAGGACATCCAGCATGTCCCCAGTCTCCGGCGACGACGAGCTCATTCTGGTACCTATTTTGGAAGATTTACGGAAACGGTGAGTCAACGGGAAAGGAAACGGTAAAGCTCGAGCTCGAAGCAGGGAGGAGTCGTGAAGGAATTTCTGGAAGGTTTTATTTTGACAATGATGATGATGATGCTGACGGTAACTGCTGATGACGTTTCTCGCTGTCAAGCTGCTGCTGCTGCTAGTAGTAAACAAACGGCGCAGCGAGAGCCGAAACGAAAACACAACCATGTGCAACGGTTAATAGCAATGAAAGTTGAAAGTTTTAGTTTAGTCAACATACACAAACTGTAAGTAAACCACAATCGGTCAAGATTTCACTACAAACAATAATTGATTATTACCGATATTTATTATTACCGACAAAAATCACAACGAAAATTTCACTAATTTTTCAATCCTAGGAAACACGCAACTGAAAACATCGAATTCGATTAAGATGTCTCAGCGACACAGCGCAGAATCCACCTCATCATCGGAGATGTCGCACTACCAGGCGTTAAATGTTGCACCCGATGCAACACTGGAGGAAATTCGCCGTTCGTATCAATCGTTGGCTCTTCGATTCCATCCGGATAAAGTGAGCCGAGCTCAACCAAAGGACGTTGAAAGTGACGAAGATAACGATGACGATCGAGGAAATCGTTTCATTCGGATCGACGAAGCATGGAAGGTGCTGAGGGATGAGGAGGCCCGACGGGTGTACGATGCTGAACTGATGCAACGGACCTGTCGGGAAGAGTACTTTGTGAACGAGGTGCTGCGGAGGGCGGATTTTAGACACGAGAAGGAAGAGGATTACTACTATCACACGTGCCGGTGTGGGGGGCTATATGTGCTACCGGAAGGGTTGGGTGGTGATGAGAGTTGCTACATTGGTTGTGATGAATGTTCACTGGTGGTTCAGGTGAATGCCAAATGAATTATATTATGTTTGTTATAATAAACTATTTTTTTAAATAAAAATCGGTTTAATTTGCATGCTCAAGAGTTAACTCTTCGTCCTGGGTTAAATCACTTAAGGGGGTATTCCCAATCTTTTGCCTTTTTTCGGCCTGTTTTTCAATTAATTTTTTTTCAAGGAAAATGAATAGTAATGCGCCTAACTCTTTGGGATTCTTGTTTATTGAACATTAAAGTTTACAAATAAATTTTTTTCGACATAAAAAAAAGACATTATTGACGTCACAAAATGGCGGCAAACAGACCCCTGTTCGCCGCAAACGCCTGGACGGGCGAAGACTTTTCTGTGGAACGGCTTCATCTGAAACAGATTTCGTGATGAAATTAATAATCTGCATAAGATTCTCTGGAGCTTCTCCCGTTGGCAGCAAAAAATCTTGCAAATTAACAAAATGGCGGCCATATGAAAAAACAGACGATTTTTAGCCCGCTTTTTTGCAGCTTTAAGGTGGTTCAAACAATGTAAAATGTTAATATTTTTGGCTGAAAGTGGAAGAAGCTCCAAAGAATTTAATAAGGAACAAAATGCGCAAAGATTCAAGTCAATATCTCTTACAGTTTCTGAGAAAAATCTTCGCCCGATAAAAAAAAATGTGGTTTCGGGAAAAACGCGTTTAAAGTTTTGACTTTAGTTAAAACCATTTTGGGGGTTCTTACCATTAGTCAGCTATGCCTGGACACCGAATTCGCTGATCGGAAAACGGCTTGGGGGGATGAAAGTATATAGTCTAAAGTACAAAAAAACGTGAAAAAAAAATTTGATTTTTTGAAAAAAAAAGATCGGGAATACCCCCTTAAATTGGGTTGTAGTGTGAACGGGGTGTAATACAACGTTCAGACTATAAGCCTGCACGGATAGAATTCCCCGAGGAATTCCCCTTACCTTTTGGCAAATTTCCATAGCTGATTATTCATAAAATGTATAAGTCAACTAATAATCAGACGCCTTGCAAAAAGTTAATGAAGATCATGTGTCAAATGAAATGTATAAATGGTCACACATACCGTTTATGCTTTCTTATATAGGACTGGATATACTGCCTATAATCACATATCAGTCTCATATGGATCTTCGTCAATTTTAAGATAATAACGCTTTCCACTAATAGATGCCTTTCATATCATGTGATAAAACTACGTGAAAACAACCCAACAAACATTCGCCTATTGAAGAAACGACTTCATGACGATTTTATTCAACTGCATGTTTAATAATACTTGTACAATTTTTAATAATACCTTCTGTTCAGGCTTTGTTCACACAAATCTGGAGAATTTATTCAACCACAACATGGTGTTGATTAAGGTATTTCCAGAAGCTTTTATTTGACTTCCATGAGTTGTAACAGAGCTTTTATTCGATCATTTTTTTTTTGTTATTCAGCGTTTATTGGACATCTTTGCTAAAAATCTCTTAAATAAAGATTTAAAAAAGGACATCTTTGCTTCCTTAAACAGCGATGATGTATACGCTTGATTATCATGAGAAGTAACGTTTAAAATAGACAATATTATACATTTATTAAACGGTTATTCCACTGCAGGAACATTAACCCGAAAATAAAGAATGGTAGAGACAGACAGAGTTGCAGGGGGTAAGCCACTCTGCCACCTTGTGTCTGTGTTTATTGTGTTTCATGTGTGTTTTTGGGTGTCGGAAGGTGTTTCTGGGTGTTTCATCATGTTAACTGAGCTGTCAAAACTTCAACCGAAAAAAAAATATATTTACTGGCAACCATATCCTCACCCATAATAGAATGCTGATAATGGCATATCCTCCTGCAACTCCTTTGTTGTTGTGCAGATGTGCAGATTTGTAATTGAAACGGGCATTGGTCCTCTCACTGCAGGAGAAAGACGAAATGGGCGCCTAATATCAATATTATTGCGTCCAGGGAACGGTCGAACCTTGGGTCTAACACAAAATTCTTGGTGGAGCGAAAAATGTGGAGTTCGAGAATTGGCAGGACAAATACATGAGTGTCAGTGCTCATGCAAACCTAGTGTGAACCTAAAGGATGAAGCTAAAAGCCACCAGATCCGAAGCGTCATCAACGAAATCTTCAACAAATGTGGAATCAATCGTCACGTAATAAGGTAAACTTTATGCCGTTTAAGAGTGGCATTCAAGCGTGACTCATAAAATGTAGTTTAAATACTTGTTTCAGATTCATTGTGATATTGTGAAGGTGAAAATTGACGATCCGGGACCAACCCTGCGAACAGTTGAGAACAAGGTTGAGAAGCTGTACAATCTGCTCAATCAATGTGAATTCGGTGAATATCAAGATCGAAGGCGACGTTCCGATAGCCGTACCATAGAGGTAACTCTAAGACTAGAAGGTCCCGAAATAACGTGCTCAACTTTTTGATTCACCCCTCGATACATAGGAAAAACCAATAACCCCTCATTTTATCTGTCAAACTTTCAAGCGAATCAAAACAAACATTGCGTATTACTAGAATTTCGACTAGAATGGGATACGTTAATCGTTTGCTTGGGACCAATAGGCTAGTCAAGTAATGAGCCAATTTAAAATCGTCAGTTTCGTATTGATTGTTGGCCGTACCACCGGGATCGGCTTCCGTTCCACCACCACCGCCAGGCATTTCAACGAAGCATAACATTTGTAGCGTTTTGTGGGTTAATCAAGATGAAGATTTAAGAAACTACATCCTCGGCTTATGGCAAAGCCTCTAAACACAACAATAAATTCGTACCTAGCGCGTTGTTGACTTTTCTAACAAATATAAATTTAATATGGAAGCTTAATAAAGCTGGTAGTAACTGGCAGATTTTGTTTAACTGTTCCAGGTGCTTGTCACACAATACTCAAACGCATTCATTAGTTGACATAGAAAAAGCCCTTCATTCAGAGTTTTTCCTTGTGACCATCAAATTCACGACGGTCTTGTTCCTCGGCGGACCCAAGATAAATTCGCGCCCTGACTCGCGCTTTTTTACGTGCTTTTAAAAACGGATTAATTCCATTTGTTCGCACAATATCCGCAAGATCCAGAATGCACAGGATCTTCCCCTCCATGAAACTAAACTCATGTGGTCGATCCGCGTGCCTCCCATACAAGCTTTCGAGAGAAGGTCCACCACTGGCTGCCTTCCCTGCCACGTTCTGAGCCATCTCTCGTATATCTCTCTGAGGCTCTGAACCATTTGGTGGATTATTTTAACTTTTGGTTAAAATTTGACAGATGAAAAGTTATCGATTAACCCTGCTATCCGAGCGTGGTTACTTCTGACATACAAGAAGTTAAATTTTGACGACCGTGGCTCGAAAACCGGTCGATCGACAGCACGGGGATTTTCGAACATAAGAAATAACTTTCGAAATGTCACTTTTAACCACGAGTTAAATTTAACTCGGCAAATGGTTCACAGCCTGAATGAATTCGTCGTAGATGTAAAACTACTGTTTATAAACATAACAATCGAATGCTTGATCGAATGTAAACAGTCATGGAAGTGGTGCCAGAATTAATAGAAAATTCTGGTGGAAGTGTGTTTGGAGTGTGTCGAACTGTGTTTTTGGAGTGTTAAACACAAGGTGGCAGAGTGAGTTACCCCTTGAGGTCAACTGCATTTCTTTGTGAACAAATTCGGAGTCCTTGTTGAATAGGTCCTTTGTTCATTTGTCGTTCAAAGAATCGATTAACTTGGTTCTTCCGTGAACTGAGCGGTGGATGAGCAATATTAATGCATACAAACCGATAAATCGATACAAACAAAAGTTCGAAGATTAAATTAAAGATTGCAGTCATAGGACCTATTAAAAAATTAACCGAGAAATTTTGTTCTGATGAACGGTTCGCACATCGAGCAGAATCCATCTCTGCGATGTTCTTTTAGCCAACAGTGGCTCACATCGCATTATCGCAATCCGTCATCAGCAGCAAATTTTCTCCAAAGCTACTCCCCCATCGAAACAGTTTTGTGCGCTGCTCGCTTTGTGTGTAATTTACGGAAAAAATCTATCGAAAAATGGACGCTTTCGGTGATGGAAACTTCGACCAACCGGAGGTTGATCCGGCGGCCGAGTTTTTGGCCCGGGAGCAGAACGCCCTCGCCGGCTTGGAGGACGAAATTCCTCTGGCACAGCCAGCAGCCACGGGAAACGGAGTCGACAACGATGACGTGACTCAACCAAAAGCAGGTACTTGCTCTTTAATCATTGTCATCGTCATCATCCGATCATTGTTAGCTTGCAGAACCTCCGTGGTTTTCTTTTGTATACGCGAAGTTTTTGTCAAGGCCGGCTAGTCGGACCGAGCGGGACGATGACGACTGTCCCTTTTATTGTTTTATTGGTACATAGTTTCTTTTCCGGTTTAATTCGATAATCGAATGATGTACATAATTGCGGTTTCGTTAGGTTAATTCAATTAATTTTGTATCGTACAAAGCTCATTGTTTTCATGCCTTCTGGGTGTAGCTTCCAGCTTCCACTATCAGTAGCTTTATCAGTGCTGAGAAACGCCCTCAGCGAAACTCGTGTAGTTTAATTTGCGATTGGAATTGATCATAGGTCTCTATTGTAAATATTTTGTTTAGATGTACATTTCTTCAACTGTAGCATAATTATTGATGTTTTATAACAATATGCCGAGCATGGTGGATCGATTCTGTTAACCGAGTCTTTTTTTTTTGCTTCTTTCTGTTTATCGCGTACCTACTCTTCTTCCTTGGTTCGACTTTGGTTTGCCAACAAACAATACTAACCACCACAAACCACCACCACAACCACAACAACATCATCAACTACAACCGAATCAACCTCCAACAACCTCACCCCGAAATCGTATCGAACGACCACAATGCTTGTGCATCGCAAGAACCCATGGGGTTTGAGTTCGAATCGACCGGCAGTTTCGAAATGATCAATAACGATGCGGACCCGTCCGGTGGACTGTCGGATTTCACTGTCAAAGCCGAACCGGACCTGGACGGCAATAATGATGCTTTGTTCTCTAATAGTCCCATTAACTCGAACGAAGGTAAACATTTTGCAGGCATTGGCTCTGGGTTTGGTGAGAGATGCCTTTTGATTGCTATTTTACTTTCTTGGCTCACTATCGGTTAGCATATACCTAGCTACTTATCGACATAATAACAAACACATTTCCATCTGTTAACAAAGAATATGATTTTCGTTCAATGTTCTCGCATTGAATCGAGTAGCGAAATGTAGATACGATTGTAGTTTTTCTTTAATAATCCAAAGAGGGAAACGGTTAGTACTGAAATGGTTGTTACACTGCATGCGACTGTTGTCATTGTACTTACCTTTTATCAATTCTCTATTTATAGTCTATTTCATTTGTCCCACGTTTGTTCGATGTATTTTAAGTTCCTAAACTAAGCCGTTTTTGAACAACAATTGTATAAACATAATTCTTTTCTTCATCCCATAGAAGATGTTAATGATGATTTTTCAGGGTACACAGGTAAGACAGTTTTGTTTTTTGCTCTATTCCTAATTTCTCTACTCCCAATTTCTTACGCTTCCATTTATGTCTCTCTCTCTCTCTCTTGCACCTGAAACGAGATCTAAACTTTTCTCCATAAACACTTTCCTATATGCCAGTGAAAAAGCCTCAAATTAACCACATATTCTCGCATAACGTCCCGTCCCCATTGCAGTACCGAAACAAGTGACGGAGGAACCAGAACGAATCCGCAAGTGGCGCGAGGAGCAGAAGGCTCGCCTCGAGGAGAAGGACCGCGAGGAAGAACGCAAGAGGGAAGAACTGCGTGAGCAGGCCCGCAAGGAACTCGAAGATTGGTACAAACACCACGAGGAAGCAATCTCCAAGACCAAGGCCGCTAATAGGTGAGTGTGGTTCTTTCCATCGCGGCTAATCGAAAGCCCCTTTGTTTCACGAAAAAAAGCCATTCTGAATAGTATTGCTATTGTTTCGGATAAGCGCGAAAAGTGCTCCAAGTACTGTTTTTTTCTCTGCGGCCAAGTTTCTTCTAAAAGTGGTTGATGGCATTTTGGTTTGCAGCGCTGTAACCTGTACACAAGCTATCGTTAATATTTCCTATTTAATTGTTGTTTCTAAAACTGCCAAAATGTATTCGTTATCCTTATCTGATTGTAAAAACTTCCTCTTTGTATTATCGTTTTTCTCTTTTTATCTCTATCTCTCTAATTGTGTCGCTGCTAATTATGTTTCCTTCTCGTGATTATCCTTCTCTTCTCTCTCATATGACTGAACCGATCAGGGAATCGGCCAAGTAAGTAACCAAGTAGTAGCACAGTGCAGCTTCGGCTCAGTCTGTTAGATAGCAAATTTTTTTCTCTGTATTTTGGTATTCGGGTCACCTATCTGCGATTCGATGAATAACTACTCAGTTGTAGATTACTTTCCCCCCCGCATCATCAGTAGAATTCTAGAGTAATCGTTGCACCTGTATTTGGCCCTTCTGTTCCTTTCCTTGTTGTTTGTTTTCATTTTGGTAGCAAGTTCCATTTCGATTCGATTAAGGTTGGGGAAGGAGAAAGGTTAAACATTGTCATTTGTTGAATCTACTTAGTCCGGTGTAATCATGTGTACCTATGCGTTTTCGACCGTGTAATAACATATCATAACACCATTGTAAAGATGTGATTTGTTCGATTTGGTGTACCTATACAGTCTCACATACATTCGTAAGAAAAGCTCATTGAAAAAACGTTTACATTGTTACCATCAACAGCGCCAAAGTGAGTGTCTTTGGGTGCACATCAACAGAATGACTGGTGGCGAAACCGTGTGTGACATTCTGAAGACGGTGAAGTTTGGGGCGATTTCGAATTGCAAACGAATTTCGGTTCTTTCACCCGATTGAAGCGAATTGGACGGGGAGAGTGGGAATGCCAACTCCCTGTTGATAACATTTCGTGGATAAAGGGTGGGCTCTTCTCCCCACTCATTGGTGCATCTCCCTGTTTGGGAGCTTATCTTTTTGACCAATTGGCTGATCAAGTTGCTGGAAGGAGATTCTTTACTGTTCCGTAGATGCGTATAGGCGACTTTGCCTATCGATCTACCCAATCCGTTTTTGGCCCTTCATACAGCGACATGTTGAGGACAATCAGAGGTTATTAAGTTTGATCAAGACAAACAGATAAGAGAGCCCACTGCGAATATCGGTTCCGAAAGGGCCAACCGAACTACCAAAGTTTTGTTTATAATAGTTTATTTATTTATTTATTTATTATTCTCTCCATCGGACTTTGGTTGTCTACATGAAGATTGATGGGGCAAATATTTGCGCAAATAGGCGTAAAAACGCCATAGGTTTTCGACATACAGGGAACAATGTAAAAAGGACACAAAAACAGAACAATTATAAAAATTAATGTCGTCCTATGGCATGGAGTTGTCCTTGAATCAGTCAAGTCGAGGCCGTCATATCAGAGTTGATCGGGAACAAAAAAAAGGAAGCAGGTAGCAAAATTCATCAGATGTACATTAAATGGACAGCTACTCATCGTGTTGTAACAATTTGTTAATTGAAAGTCGTCACCTATCCAGCAGACTACATTGAATCCGGTGACGAAAGGTTTCCGCTGCGCTGTTGAAGTCGAAAAAAGCATAGAATTCATTGAAACGTGCAGACATGAACCTATTGGATCATGTAATCCGTAATTAGCTGCTCGGGGTCCGAGATGCAGGAAACTCATCGATCTTAGAACTCGTTCAGGTGCATAGATTTCGAATTCAACCAAAATCCCGGCAGAGTCGATTTCGCTTAGCACTTTTGCTGCAATATCTGCCTGGTTAATCTTCCGCTTACGTTCAAGAGTGTCAATACCCAGGAGTTGGTAACGATCATCGTATGGTGTAAGGTTCGTTGGATCATGCCAAGGAGGGTTGCGAAGAGCGTAACGAACGAATTTCCTCGCTATCCAAATCGTTTCATACGGACACCATACTACTACATTCCAAGATCGATCGCACTAAAGAACAGTCTAGAGCTGTCAGGCAGGTAGGATCTCTATTAATAACAATTGTTTTAACTTTTTTATGCTGCCTACAAAAAGATGGCTGCGTGCCAGTCCCTTGGGTAGGCTCCTGAAACTCATCAGAGATGAATCCGAGTTGCCTGTGATCCGTATAATGTAGCTCAAATGTCAAAGCAGAATCAAGTGTTATTTCTAGATCACAAACGTTGTCCACACGCTGCAGAGGTTGGTTATCGATCGTATAATTGAATGCAATAGGTTTTAGCTTGCGATGGAAAGTGATGATATTGCATTGTTGAACACTCAACGTGAAAAAATTCTTAGAGCACCACTCTTCGATCAGGTGCTGCAACCGCAAGCTATCAGTGAAGCATCGCACAACTACGTACATCTTGACATCGTCTGCATAGAATGACCGGCAGCCAGTTGGAAGTATCGAACCAATTTCGTTAATGAATATCGAGAATAGCAGCGGCCGCTCGATTGGTAAGATACGATTCAACCCAACGAGTGAGTCCTTGAGAGACACCGTGCTTCTCGAGTTTGGCAAGTAGGATGGCATGATCAACCCGGTCGAAAGCAGCATTGAGTTCCGTGTATACGACGTCCACCTGTGCTCCTGCCTCCATATTCCGTAGGCACAGGGAATTGAAAGGAGCGAGGTTTGTTAAGACCGAACGTTTGGGGTGGAAACCATGTTGGTCAGGAGAAATGTAGTTTCTACAGCTAGCAAATAAAGCGTCGCTGATGATTATCTCGAATACTTTCGAGCAGGCACAGTGAATTCCTCGGTAATTCTCGATATTTCGCTTGTCTCCTTTCTTGAAAATCGGGAACATGAACGAATATTTACAACGAGAAGGAAATACCTACACCTTGTTGTAATGAAACATATTTTGAATATGGGCGATGCAATGCTGTCAGGCCCAACAGCGTTCGAGAATTTCAGCTTCTGGATGGCAGAGTCGACGAGATCCAATGTGACCGTGAAAATATCAAAGCTGAACGCGTCACTGGGAGTATCTCTGATTCCTTCAGCAACTTGGCTTAACGATGCCGTTGAGTCGTTGAAAACACTCTTGAAATGCTCAGACAGGAGGTTACATTTTTCTAAAGAAGTGTTGGCTTTTGTATCGCTTAGATGAATCTCAACCGGTAGACCATCATCTTTCCTTTTTGAAAAGGGTTGTACATTCGGTAGCCATTACTTGCTAACGAAAATAATCGCTTGGTGAATGGATTGCGGGACTGGCTGTATTTGCGTGCGCTTCAAGTGTTGTAATCGAGCATTAGATCATGCAGGTCTCCTCAGAGGCACACATCCTATTATTAATCGGCTCACATCTTCGCCGAAATAGTTAACGACTTCATCATTGGACGAACACAAGTCAAGCGACTGTCAATCTACCTGGGCCAGTAAGTGATTCAATGCAACGTAGTTAGTTCTACGAAAGTCCAGGTCCAGGCTTTGTACATCAACGATGTCTTCATAGAGAACAGGAGCTGATCGATTGATGAATGCTTCCAACGCTAGATGATCGGCGTTATGATGTATCAGAGGTTCGGATGCCTCGGCGACAATGTACTCTAGTGCGGCGGCTTCGTTCACCAACACAAGATCAAGCAGCCGAGAGTTTCTGTTTGGTACAGAATTAATTTGCATTAAACCATGCAGGCTGAAACCATCCAAAAGAGCACAGCAGGAAGCAGGCATGTACCTAAGAGGAAGAGGAGACCATAGGGGGACTTTTATGAACCTATGTTCTGTCAAATGCGAACCCGCGCCTGATTGGTCGGGCGAACGTATAGAAACGCGAGAATTTTACGACAGGGAATCTATTTTCTTGTATTTTGACAGTCGACTGCGTCGCCCATAATAAAATAGTTTTTGCACGGTCGTTTCCGCGAGAGAAGAAGAACACGTCAAAGACAAAAAGAAGCCAGTTGTCTCCTCTTCCTCATAGTCATGTACGACCGAAGAATGTCTATGGTTGGATGATCATTCGCGGAAATATTCCAAACAAGCCCAGACTGGTTGTAGTCGCCAAATAGCAGAGCTAGATCGTTGTGATGTAATCGGGACAATACAGCACCAAAGGAACCGGTATGGTTCTCAACGCAGCTCACATTAGATTTACGGTCAGGAGGAAGGTGCAGTGTGTGGCGTCGTAATCTTCACCCATAACTGCTCAAGAAAAGTACTGACCGGAGCAGGATCGAGGCAACAGTTCAGTCGTTTGAAAACCGCAATCAAGACGCCATCACCACGTGATTTGGCACTGTTCATCCGGCTACGGTCATTGCGAAAAACTGAGAACCTACTGCCAAATAATTGTGCTGAGTAAATTCGATCATCCTGCCCCTGGTCTCGGTAAGAACTATTGCATTGTAGTTGGACTCAACTGTAGTCAAGAATAAGTCGCAGGCCACGAACATTTTGATAATACACCACAAGTCAATCGGCAATTTGTGTTGGCAATCGGAAAGGTGAGGTACAGTCGGTGGTGAAGAACGACTACGGTGGCAGGAATCAGTAAACACGACTGCGTTGAGAGGCTTAGGGGCTTCCAAGGGGTGGCAGGCAATGCGTTCTGGGCTGGGAAGAAACGTGGCAGCTACGATTCGGTGCAGTATATTCAGAATCGGTGTTATGAAGTATGCCGTCATCGGTGGACTGCAGACCGTGTTGTTCAGGATTGGAATAAGTAACATTGAAAATGGAAGACGTGCTGTAACTTGAAGGCATATCAGGTGAAGAACTGTCTTGATCACATTTGTACTTGCCTGTTAACGCAAGCTGTCACTGGTCCGGGACGACTGTGATGAGCGCTGGCAGAAATCAGCGGCACTGGACTACATAGAGGAACCAGGAGCTTCCAATAGTAAAACCGGGCGTGAAGTTTGGTATCTAGAGGCGTAACACTGGAACTCGAAAACTTATCAGACAAATACTCTCGCAAATACCTGTTGCTGATGGAAGCATACTTGTCTGAACGTGAAGGTTGGGGGACCTCACCGCCACACTCTACCGCAGGGCCAGAACGACTATGATGACTGGAAACAGCGTGCGTGACCGGATCGAGCGGAACGAGGTCCCCCATGGGTGCGACAGGCAGTGCGTTCTGGTTTACAGGAATTGGGAATAAAATCGACTTCATCCAGCTTCGATTGTGCAACGCTGCATGCAACTTGGAAAGCGAAGGACCCGGAATAGGAGAAATTGTAATGATCGGCGTGTTCAAACGAGGCAACCACCTTTTTTTTTTGAACTTGTGTCCTCGAATTCGCGGAACAAAATCCCCTCTGGTCAAGTATCCGAACTCAAAACTACTTCGCGTAGTTTTGGAACCATTCCGACCTTAAACGAAATAAAGCTCATACGACTTGTATCGGATCCCTTTTTCACAAGTGGCACAACCTTTGCCGGTTCTTCGCACGGAGCGCTAGTTTTGACCAGCTTCTCAATTGATTCCGGTTTCACGCTAGGATGAATACGGGAAAGGTATAGCCAGTACCACCAGTATAGCCAGTACAATTAAATTTGACAGATAAAATGAGGGGTTAGTGGATTTTCCTATGTTTCGAGGGGTGAATCGATTAGCTTGGGACCGAAGATAGACCAGAGAGCCAAAAAGTTAAGTACGTTTCTTCGGGACCGTCTTAGAGTTACCTCTATGGTACAACTCAGCAGGCTCAGGAATAGTCCAAACACCAGTATCAGTCACCGCTTTAGTACCACCAACAAGTGGTTTGCTAGTCAGCAGGGCTTCATTCACGGCGACGTTTCAATGGGGGTTGACGGATGTTATTTCCAGAATCCAGACTTGCCGCAGAGGATGACGCGATTCGTCTTGTCAACTGAGCAATTTGCTGTCCTTGTATGGCCATTTCCTTTCTGATCTCACCACGTGCAATTTCTTTTATTTATTTTTTATTATAGTCACTTTAACACTCATGGGTCATTCGTGACTTGTCCGGGGTGAGATTTGAACTCGTTACTTTGGCGTGAGTGGTATGTATGTAAGTAAGGTATGGATGTTAACCATTACGCCGGGTTCCCCCTTCTGCAATTTCTTGCCTCTCGGCAATAGAGTTGTTTGCGCTTCCAAACGACGAGACTGTTGTTTTCAATTTGGCACATTTCATCAGAGTTACACACTCGTGACACATCCAGAACAAGTTCGGACTTGAGTGGATAATGTTCAGAAAAGCCTCGAATATACACTACAAACGAGATTTCCAAGACGAATTTCAAACTCTAAGACTAGTAGAAACGTGCTCAACTGTTTGGCTCAGCTGTGGTACTATCTTCGGTCCCAAGCTAATCGATACACCCCTCGAAACATAGGAAAATCCATGAACCCCTCATTTTATCTGTCAAACTTTCATAGCAAATCAAAACAAACATAGTGTAGTACTAGAATTTCGGCTAGAATGGGATACGTTAATCGTTTGCTTGGGACCAATAGGCTAGTCAAGTAGTGAGCCAATTTAAAATCGAAGTTGCCACCGGTTGAAGCTACTGCTACCAATAGTGACGGTAGTGTCGGGTAGCGTTCGGTTGTAAAGCGAAAATCATAAAACTCAAGCTCACCATGGTTTGGTTATAATTGTAGCTGATGAGTTCTTTTAGCTTGATATTCGTATCTCACTCAAAATAATCCTCACATCAATGCTACGTGAAAACACACATAGATTTTTTCCATCGCATTTTTCACGTAAGACTTACGTGATTCTCATATAGAGGTACTCAATTCAGTGAGCTTCATCGTCACTGGATTATCACGTAGAAGTTACGTGATTCTTCCGATAAAATGCATAGTGATTCGAACTCATTATTTAATTCCGATTCGATTTAAATAAAATGTATTATTTATTTCTTAATTGACATACATAAATAGAAAACAAACTAAATTAATCTCTTTGTAAAATTTTAATTAATTATACTTACAACTCGAAATTGTCTCAGTAAAGACCAAACCAATTTGGATTTCAATGGCATGTAAACATGCACAATGAACTAGCGCCATATTGTATAGCACTATGAGTGACTCACTCATTTATTTTTTCAGACGTGAAAATCACTTAGGGTTTACGTGAAACGAACGTAGAATCTGTGTATGTGTAATTCACGTAAACGTCATTAAAAAATCTTACGATTTCGAAAGGAGTTTCGGTTCACATATAAGTGGTCTCATGTAGAGTTTACTTGGGCCACGTAAAATTGACAGCAAAGGAAAATGAGATACACTACGTGATTTTTCACGGAACAACAACGTGTCGATTATTTTGAGTGTAAGATATCATCAAGGGGGAGGTGACTGTGAAATACGAACAATCGTCTACCTTACATAACTGGTTCCAAACTACAACAAGCCATAAACAGCGATTAGAAATGAACTAGCCTTCGGCTAAAAATCTCTAAAATAAAGAAAAATAAATAAATAAATAAACAACGATGGTTTGTTGATGTTTGGAACCAAATTCACAAATGGAAAATCAATGAGCGTATCCCGAGCAAATTCAGTTAACAAAATGAAAGCTAATCGATATTAATGTTTGCTGTTCCTATCATAATGAAAACAATATTAAGGGAGAACAGCCCATAATGCACCCCTGGGGTAAAATGCCCACTTATAGAAAAACAGCGATAACTTTTCCTCAGATGCATTTTCCGGGTAACGGTTTGTGATTGTTTTCAACTGGAGGTTTCACAAATAATTCTTGATCATAAAATCATGTATTGACCTGCTGATTCCTTAAAAAATTGCATTTTGTGCAAAACAGGACATAGTTGTTAAAATCATCGACTGTAAATTAAGCTTTTAACATCATATATCACAAAAAAAATTAACAAATTTACGTTTCGTATATTTTTTAGATATTTTACTTGATGAATCACAGTTTAACATTCTATTGAGATTTTGATACCTTATTTCTGATTTAACATAAAGAAATAATCATTTGAAATACCGCATCCCTTTGCATTATCTACTTGCAGGGGTTATGGTTTGTTTACCATTGGGTGCATTTTACCCCAATGTTGTGGTGCGTTTTGGCCATTGTTGTCGTGCGTCTTGTCCCAATGTTGTGGTGCATATTGCATCATGAATCAGGCGTTTTGCCCCGCTATCATTTTGGAAGCAATTTAAAAAATACCTTGAAAGTCATGGAAAATTATCCTTTTGTAGTTCTAAATCACTCGATCTTTGTAGAAAACATGGTAATGAACCAAACGCCATTACTTTCTTCTTGATTTTAGCTTCCATTCGCCAGCAATTGACGATTTTGCTTAAACGGTGCGTTTTGCACCATCCTACCCTACAAGATCCACATATGAAAAGGGCATACAAGCTTTTTGTAAGCAAACCTTTGTAGGCCCTTTTCTCGCCAACCGAGGGTCGCCTAGGCAAACCAACAACATCATCGGGAAGGGTAAAGATTCCCCTACCCGATGATGATGATGGTTTGTGTTGGTATCATATAGGTGGCGAGAAAAGGGCATAAGAAGGTTTGTTTTCACATGTTGTTCTTGATTAGTCATATTGTGCTTTCATTATGCAGTCAAAACTTTTTAAATGAAAGCAACTAAACTTGAAGTTCTGCTGTTAACGTCTTGTTTAAAATTTAATTTAAGTTCATCTGTCGTTGAACTAACATTTTAGGTCATTCGTGACTTGCCCGGGGTGAGATTTATGCTCAAGTGGAGAAGCACGGATGCTAACCATTTGCGCTAGGGCCGTATTCTGTTAAAAGTATATGAATGCAAAATCAGTAATCACATCGATTTCATTGATAGCGGAATTAATTTTCCGTTTTGTTTAGAAATGTCATCTGAAGGTTAAGGGGGATTGCAAAAGATTGAAAAAGATCGGCCATTTATTAGGTTTAGGAAAAGAAAAATGTGCCATTCGAGGAGCAGTGGCCGTGAAGTCGTCAAGCGATTTCGATATAGCAAACCCAGTTTGGTCCAGAACTGATTCCGTCTTCATTCGTTCTTATTCTACCGCTGTATATATATAGATCTTTGCTTGTGTAATGATGTTTTTCTTTTCTTTAAATCTCCCTTAAGTATCCAAATTTCTGCACCCGGGATATTGCTGTGTGTTCTCTCTGCTTTTCATACCCTTTACCCTTGCCGAGATATAACTAACGCAACTGTTCTTCCGTTCCCAACAATCCTCCACTTTGCACGCAACCGCAACCCGCAGAAACGCCGAAAAGCAGTTCGTGGCCGAGACGGACGAGATCGAACCCGGCACCGAGTGGGAACGCATCGCCAGGCTGTGCGACTTTAATCCGAAGACGAACAAGTCCAGCAAGGACATTTCCCGGATGCGGTCCATCATTCTGCAGCTGAAGCAGAACCCGATCTCGACCAGCAAGAAGGTTTAAATTAAGCAGCTTGGCTGCCATTTAGAAATTGAACAGTTAGATTACACGTAATTACACATAGCAGGAGAGGAGGGGGAGTGGAGCGGTTACAGTAGATCCATCATTTATCCCGTAAGAAGACAAATTATACTAGACAAAATGCTGATTATGTATTAAAATACTTATATGATACCTAAAGGGTGGAAATACAACAAATCAAGAGACAGGTTGGGCTTGCTCTACTTGAAAACTCTTTATTGATTATACGGTTTTTAGTAGACTTTTCGTGCTTTGTTTGTTTTGCGATTACAATTATTTGCTTGAGAACAGTGTCCTTTTGATTACGTGATTCGAATAAATACTTTTGCTTTTGCTGCTGTTACCGGCTACTCGATAAAATTGCTCCTATTAATCACTAAATATTATTAGTAGAAAGGTAGATAAATACTTTCCGGGTTTCTTTGTTTTTTTTTTGTAATTCTCGTTTGCAAACTCCAAACCATTCCGCAAAAGTTCATGCCTCGGTTGCTGAATTTGCAACGACTTATGACTTATATATATATATAATATGAATTTTGTATTAGTTTAAAAAGTTTTCCTTTGTGTTGTATTGTTTCCTAAATTTCATTATTATTATTTTTTTCCGTTTGGACCGGGTGCATTTACTGGCTCATTAAGTTTCGACTGTTTTCTTCGGCGTAGAGAAAATTAAAAGTTTGAAAACGGTAAATAAAAGTGTCAAGCTAAACTTTCCATTCAGAGTAGATAAAATAATGCCGACAAAGTAGTACTAAATCTATTGGTTATTGTAACTAAGCAAACATGATAAAGTGCTACACGCGATAAAATAAACTTGTTTGAAAAATGCAAATACATTCAGATTTATTCGAAAATATCACCCTTTTCCTTTACCTAATACGTTAAACGATGAAATTTATATTCTTCCATTACGGTTGGATCAAACTGTTTTAATAATGCACTGGTAATAAGTTTCGGTTATTTCAATATACAAGCTAATCAATGATGCACGACAATGTAAAATTTGTTTTATCGTAGCGATTACATTTAGTTCCTTTATTTCTGTCTGCGCCGTATCATTGAAGTTCCAAAAAACAAAACAACAAAAAATGCAGCAACTTTACATATAAAATGGTGTTTTTTTTTCACTAGTTTAACATTTTTTTATTTGTATCTCAAATCGTGTTGTGTGTGCATACTTTTAATCACATACTATACTCATTTTAAAATTTCGAAAAAGAGATTCAACCGGTGTTCTGTACTAGCAAATGGCATAACACATCGACCGGAGATTCTTACCATTAACACCTATAATTTGAATGTCGTAAAAATAGGGATATTGATCATTGTTTTAACGAAAAACTTCAATCAAACGACACTGAGTGAAATTTGTGTGAAATGTGAAGAATAATGTATTTTTTTTCTTTTCATGAACCAGTTGTTGATGGTTCTTGCTGCGGTATTGCTAAAATGACTGGAGACTTATCAAATTCCTAAGTAGATAAGAATAATATATTGCTTTTCTAAGTTTAAAAGCCGGAACTAGTTAGTTGTAGTATTTTTTTTTTGTTTCAGTGGTGTGTGTGTATCATTATTAGTATTTGTTCGTGTCTTTGTTTGCTTTGTCGCAGTTAGCTATTATTATGAATGTAGTTTAGATTGGCTCGCTAGTGATGCTAGTGAAATTTAGTTTAGTTTTGATTCTTGCAATTCCTAGCGCTTTGGATCATGAAGCTGGGTTTTGAGCAGTCACTGGTTGAATTCGCAAGAGCCTTTTTGGTACGATTGAAACGACATACCTACGGGTTGGACATTAGACTGATGCAAAATTTGACTTTTTCGCTCCACAGTGCTTAAATGGTTTCAAATCGGGTCCTGACTAGCCTCCCAAAGTTACAACTCATTTGGTTGGAAACAGACTTCGCACAAGCCATTTGATGTTTACATGTAAATTACTATGGGAAATCTCAACTTTTTGTTCATTGCCTTCTAGTCTTTTTCCATATTGAGCTGCGAAACAGTTCGATAGCCATTTTCTCAGCTACAACTTTGCTGAAGATCGTTTCTATGTAAAACGAGACAGGAAAAAGTTATTAATTATTTAAGAGATTGGTAAACTTATGACATGATCAAGCAGCTGCTCTGTAGGCAACACTGTATTTTGCAGTGTGACATAGTAGCCATGATTTTTGTGTTCTATTCTACGCACCACAAACACCAATGTTGCCTGAACAGTTGATTGAGCATGATCATAAGACATTAACTTTCGATTCTTGCTTTTAATCAAAAAGTGGTCTTCAGCTAAGTTGTAGTTGGGAAAATTTCTTACAAGTACAGTTGAAAGCTTTTGAAGCAGACCGATATGGTGAATTATTAGATAGACATGAACAAAAATTTTGGTTTTACCATAGTAATTCCCATACAAACTTCAAATGGTTTGTGCCATCTCAGTTTCTCGCCAAATGGGTTCAAATTTTGAGAAGTTATTCAGGATCCGATTTGGAATCGTTTCAGTATTGTGGAGCGAAAATTTCAAAATTTGCATCACTCTAGTTGGACATCCATCAACAGTGAATAGAATTTAGTCTCGTTAATCAGTCTGTGTGACTCTAATGCCAAAAATTATGGAATAAAAATATTAAAAAAAATTCACCGATGAATCCGAATCGAACACTGACTGTGTGGTGCTTCCGATGGTGAGTACGACGTATGTCTAACTACGGATTCCAGATGGTTGCTCCATCATGTCTGCTGAAGCCTCTGGTATTTTAAACGCTCTGCAGAACATCGTTGATTCTAATTCCAAAACTGTGATATTATCTGTCAGTTGGCCTAGAGCCACCGACAAACCGACATGACACTTAATTCTGACTTATGTCCAAAAATCGTAGACGGTCTATTTAAATGTGCAGTGATCCGAACTGTCAAAATCATAGGATTTTTTGATCTAGATAAAAATACTTTGTCCAGAATAGATCAGACACGAACCAATTCATCACTTTTACATGAAGGCTTATGGTTTAGCTACACATTTCCCGCGAACACGGAGCAAGATGTCAGTAGTGTGCTTTGGTCAGAAATTTTATTGTTTTTGCTATGGTCATTCATGTCGGTTTGTCGGTGCTGGAGTGGAGCTAGCAGAACAGCGCTACAGAGGCGGAGCATCAACCAGTAAATATAAGGAAGTCTATAGATAGATTTGATCTGTGCCCAGTTCAAGACGACAGAAAACAATCGGTTTTGGCCCTATGGGCGTCCCAAAGACAACCATTATGAACATAGCGTTAGTTTCACAGGAATCCTGCTGATACCGTTGTGAAACAAAGAGTTGCATTTTTTTTGACGTATAAGTCTGTGATTTATATATGGAGGTAAACCGAAAATGGAACATGTAACAAAATTATGAAAGATTTTGAACGTTAAAAATATCAGCTGCCACTGGACCGATTTCAATATTTTTTTCACCAATCGATCAGAAATATTTCTACGCATCTGTTAAACTTAAGACCACAGACAAACAGACAATACTCGCAAGTTGTTCATCGATCAAGCATTTAACGGACAATTTAAAAGTATCGTAGTTGGTAGTACCGCCACCTGTGGCGCTCAAAGTTAATTCCCTTCACACTTAAACAGAGACCCTGAGTTCGGTAAAAAAAAAAATTACCGTCTTAGATCGGTAATGCTAAAAATTACAGATGTTTCGGTATTTTCTCGCTTTATTGCTGAAAACTGCAAATGAAATGACCGAATTTCGGTAATTTCATTTTAATTTACCGAAAACGGTAACCATTTTTACCGGCAGGTCTGTAAATCAGCCTCATCACTGACTTCGGTGAAATATTTTACTGAATTTTCGGTAAACAAAGCGTTCCATTACTGAGTTTGGTAATGGTCTAGGTAAACGTCAAATCCACCATATTGTTATTTTCGATCGACTTTAAAAGCGTTCGTGCTTGTGAAAAATAAGAAAGTGAAATTATGGAGGCTGTTATTCAACACCAAAATGAGTGAATCGTAGATGTTTTCCGTAAATAATTAATTTTCGTTATCTAAATAAATACCGATTACAGATGGCCGATGTTGTTGCTTGTTTTTTCTGTCGGTCCAAGTTCCATTCCCGTTGGCGACGATCTGAAAACAGCATTTGGAATATTCTTCCAAAGCTTCCTTGTTTTCAGTGTAGCGCCGAATCCTTTCGACAAAAACTTGGTTTTGTTCATTGGTGGTGCAATTTGCAACACTAACTTATTTATCACGATAACAGCCAAATTTTTGCATGGGTTGCAGTGACCGCCACCTTGAAACAATATTAAAGAGAATTACAGTTCAGTCGGTTACCTTTTTAGAAAATTACAAATCTCTCGGTAATTTTCGATTTGCATATCGTCCTCAAAATTACAGTTCTCCGGTAAAGTCGACTACAAATCAAGCAATGCACATCGGTAAACGTTACCGATCGTTCGGTAAATTTGACAGCTAATTTTGCTGATCCAGTTTACAGATTTTTCGGTAATGTTCTCGATTACCGAAAACATTACCGACCGTTCAGCTGTTGAGAATTCGGTAAATGAATTACCGAAGTCGGTGATTTTTTCTAAGTGTGCTGCGATTGACGTTTACACACTACCGCCATCTATTCAGCGTACGGCCCACCACAGTGTACTCAACAGATGACGGTAATGTTTTAGCGACGATGTTTTACAGTGAGAAATATTCAATGTGTTATGTCTGTTTGTCTGTCTTAAGACTGTATCATTTTTTAAAATTTAACTATTGAAAATTGCACGAATGTGCAACTGTTGCTATGATAATTAAAATTGTCACCAATTTGCTTGCGAAAAAATTTCAAATACACAGATTTCAAAGTTGAATTCCATCAGGTCTCACCAAACGGTGTTTATTCAATCACCGCGTGGTGAGTGATGGTGTTCTCCAGTACACAACGAAAGGCTGCCTGCATGCAGCGAGTTGCAGCCCACATAAGCACTCATAGAAGGAGAAAAAAGCCGCACTGCTATTGATCGGAATCAGTAGCTCTTCGTGAGTCGCTGTGGGCCATCTATGCCAAGCGCGTCACCCTCATTCCGAACAACATACGGCTCACCAGCCTCATCTGTGTTTAACACCCTAATAGCTCAGGATTACTCAACCATCACGACAAAACGGTCCATTTCAGGACCACCATAATTTTGAAAAAGATTATTTTTTGGACATTTGTCAAGGTCATAAATCGGATGTCAGTTCCCATATCAAGATTGAGCTGGAATTAGGGCGTAACAGCTTTTGTAAACAATAACTTCTTCCGATGATGTCTTGAAAGTCAAGGCACGCCCACGCAATTGAATTCAACATCACCATCAGGTAGGGTAAGACTTCCCCTACCCGACGGTAATGTTGGTTTGCGTGGGCGTGTCTTGGATTCCTAAAAATCATCGAGAGAAGTCATTGTTTACAAAAGCTGCTACGCCTAATTCCAGGTCTATTGATAGAAAGTGCAACTGTTGCTTTGATAAAGCGATAAAGCGGTTTCCCTAACACAGATTTCAAATTCCATTTTGGTTATTCAATCACCGCGTGGTGAGTGATGGTGTTCTCCAGTACACAACGAAAGGCTGTCTGCAAGCAGAGAGCTGCAACCCACATGATCATCCATAGAAGGAGGAAGAAGCAGCACCGCTATTGATCGGAATCAGTAGCTCTTCGTGAGTCACTGTGGGCCATCTATGTCAAGCGCGTCATACTAAAGAGTATAAACCGAGAGAACCCCGCTCAAATTCCCATTCCTACACAAAACACAAGCTCCTGCTGTAGTTAACAAATAAGATTTATTATATAAGACCACGTAGTCCTACGTCATCATTGCGTACAACCCCATAGGGCTGTCCCTTGTAGCTTTCATTTACCCGTTAAAAAAAAACCAAAAACCCACCTTCAAGACCAACAATGCCCATCCATCTCACTGACTGCGCACATTTGGTGTACATTCAATTTAATTTTCCATTAATATGGGCCTAAAAGCTTGCGACTATCCTACGCTAAAATTCCGCTCCGTATGGTGTTACAATTTCCTTGTTTTCCGTTATGTATGTGTTATCGTAGTAATTCACTATATGAAGTGTTATTAGGTATCCGTTAAAAGTGTTCGACATAGTAATTTGCGATCGTTTAGTGCTAATTTTATCATTAAGACATCACATAGTAAGGTAGATTATTATTCAGTATCTAATCCGTACGGTTTAGGTGGTAGTTTAGACAGACACAGAGGAATGACAACTTGAGGGCGGGGAGAGATTCATTAGTTGAGATATTACTATTGCAGCCGTACTCTGGGGCATTCATTAGGTTTAAAATGTGAGTAGTGAATGTTAGTAGTTCCTAAACTTTCAATAGTACAAGTTGAAATTTTGATTTGATCAAATAATTAGCTCCATTCTGCAGCTGAGTTATCACTTGTGAAGTGGTTGCTGTTCTTATTACTTTTAAATACTTCTGTTTTGCTCATATAATATGTCTAGAAACTAGTTAGCTAGAGGTTGTCGCGCGCCGCTATCAAAAGCGCGACGTATGAATGGTCCGTGAATATATTGTGTCGTGTGTTTGTGTGTTTCAGTTTTTTTTAAGTATAAGACATCTTTTGAATTTGTTTGCTATTTTAGTGTGTACTTTTTTGTTTGGTTTGGTACTACCATTTTTGCATCCTGTGTGCTTTTCATTTTGGTAGTTTCACAGCGCATCTACGCACGCTGTTCAAAAGGGCAACATGTGATCTTAGGGATTTTTTTACGACAGACATTTAGTTTGTTTCCTGTTTCAGGGATAACGGCATAGGCTAGGAAGTCTAGATAGAATAGACATTGAATAATGAATCTAATCAATCGGTGGATAACCAAAATGAGAAGCTTCGTGGATAAATTAGGGACAAAGGCAGGAAGCCGAAAGTAGTTTTAGAAAAGACGAAAATTCGAACTTGGTCCTCGAAAATGGTTCACTAGCGTAAAAATTGGCAAGGTGTCGTTATATTTGCTCATATAAATTGTTCCATTTTTTCAACTAGGCAGAGTCGTTTAGAGCTTTCGATGATTTACTTTAGATTGATTATATGGTACGTTTTCGATAAGTAGTACTAAAATATGTGCTTCCAGTGTCCTAAATAAGTAGTTTCCCTTATGAGAAAGCCATGAATTACACTAAAAATCTATCGGTCAAAATACTATGGTGTATGATAAATAGTAATTGCTTTAAAGGTTCCATGTTAGGGTGCATCCAAAATATGGGAATTGTTCAATATAATTGGATAATTGTAACTCTAAAAGTACCTAATGAGATCATCATATCGTCCCGAACGACTGATGAATGTAAGTGGTATCGGAAATATATACGCAACGGTTAGTTAAATATTGCATGTCCACTGTGCGTGGCGAAATATCCATCAGTTGGATATCGTCCATTGGATGTACTTGAGGTTCTTGTTCATTCCGATAAATTCGAGATCTAGAAATCAGAAGAAAAAAATCTCAGCAACCCCCCAACATCGAAACAATCCATCATATCTTACCATTGATCTCGCATCCCTCGAAGCCAATGTACTTGATGGTATCCCAAGGCAACATCCCCAGCCCCGCACCGGTAATGTTGCAGTGACCAACGTTCAGATCTTCCAGCGAGCATCCGCACTCTTCGTTTGCGATCGCTTTCAAAAATTCGTCCGAAATTTGCGTCCGCGAGAGGTTCAACTTGGTCAGCTTGAGCCGTTTGATTGCGTCCGCCGATCGGTCGGTTACGTTTCGGCAACACTCAAAGTCCATCAGATCCAGCCTGGGACAGTTCTGTGCCAGCAGCGTTACCAGCTCGTCGTCCACCAGTGCGCAATTCCGGACCGAAAGCTGCTGCAACTGAGTCAGCTGCCGAACGATCACTTCCAATCCGCGCCGGGTGAATTGATAGTCTCCCTGGGACAGAGTAAGGCTCTTGAGGTTTGGGCATTTCTCCGCCAACAAAATCAGTGTCCTATCCGTGATGGTAGAGCTGGACAGGTTTATTCGGGTGAGCGAACGATTCAATAGCATTGCCAGCAGTTCGTCATCGTGGAAGCCTCGCTGGACTCGGGTTGCATTCAGTGTCAGGGCATTTTTAATCAGCGGCGGTATCAGTTCCAGATACTCGATGTGTTTATACTTTTTCAGATTGCGGGCTACATATCGAATACACCTACGCGGCACAGAGGTCAAGAAAAATGTTACGTATAGGATCCAGTCTAATGGGGCCATCGAAAAGCAACAACAAACTTACGTATTGTACAGCGAGGATGGCTGTTTTCTCAGTCTGCTATCACAAATGCGCTCGGTCATGGTTCACTTCGGGGGGATAGCTAGGGTTTTCACTAAAGTGGATGGGTTTCACTGGATAAAATTCATTTTTGTCCAAAAATGTACTGAGAATCTAATCGAGGCAGAATAATTTTGACTTAAGATTGATCGCGTTATTTGTAAACAAACAAGTTTGAGTTAACTTCGTTGGTGGATGGGATCCGAACGATATGATAAACTTATCGTTTGGATACCAGCGCAGGGGTTCTTCATATTAAAATAATTTAATTTGATGTAATTTGGTATTTGTATAAAAAGGAATTTTTATTTGGGCTGTTTAGGGGTATGTAAATACAAAATCGTAATCTAAATTAAAAGTAGAACCGAAATCCAATATTTCATCAATTGGGTTGTTTAGGGGTATTGAGGAAATTACATATGCGTTTTCTGATTTAAAAATGAAACCGAAATCCTAGATACACTGGAACTATTTTAAATAAGTACGATTACATTAGCAAAAATCACCATCTTAGCGCCCCTTGATGGTACTTTGTATGGAAGCGAGCTGTCAATGAATAGATTTAGTGTCAACGATCAAAAATTTAAATCTTGATTTAAAAATCGAGATGAATGTCTGCGGGAATGATAAAAATATCGTTATTCTCAGAAAACGAAGCTCTATGAGATGATGAATAAAAATCAGTATATTTTTTCGAAGTTAAACAACCCAATTCTGGTGCTCTGGAACTATTTTAAATAAATGCGTTGTTTAGGGGTATTGAGGTAAATGCATATTCTGCGTTAAAAATAGAACCGAAATCCAAAATTTCATCAATTTTGGTGCACTGGAACTATTTTAAATAAGTGCGATTACATTAGCAAAAATTAACATCTTAACGACCTTCGGTGGGACTGTGTATGAGGACGAGCTGCCAACTAAAAGATTTAGTGTCAAAAATTTAAAAAATAAATATTCATTTAAAAATCGAGATGAATGTTAATGAGATCGATAAAATTATCGTTGTTCACAGAAAACGAAGTTTAAGAGATATAAAATCCAGTATTTTGTTCTAAATTAAACAACCCAATCGGGTTGTTTGCGGGTATTGAGGTAAATACATATTCGTTATCTACATTAAAAAATGGAACCGAAATCCAAAAAATTTCATCAATTTTGGTACACTGGAATAATTTTAAATAAGTACGATTACATTAGCGAAAAACGCCATCTTAGCCTCGATCTTAGCGCCCTTGGTGGGACTTTGTATGAGAGCGAGCTGTCAACGAATCGATTTAGTGTCAACGATCAAAAATTTAAATCTTGATTTAAGAATCGAGATGAATGTCTAAATCTCGATTGTAAATGGTCATCTCACACTAGCGAATCAATCTACGAAAAATCTTTTTTCATCTTTTGCATCTAAACCCATCCACTCGCTTCGTTCTCCACCTTTTTACAGGAAATCTTCAAAATCACAATCAATCGTGTTTCTATCTATTAAGCGCGAGTGTATCCCTAATAAACGGGTACCATACTCTAACGATATCATAGATGGTACGACTATCCCACATAAAGTTGGGATGATATCCCGAATTGGTGGTTAGGCGCTTCTTATGGTTATTGTTTATGCGGGATCTCACAACAGCAAAGCAAAAAAATCCTGCATCCCCCCCTCGGTCTACGGGATTGATAAAAATATCGTTGTGCTCAAAAAACAAAGCTCTATCAGATGATGTATAAAAATCGGTATATTTTTCGAAGTTAAACCAAAGATGAATACTAAGATGAAACTGTCGAAAGAAAAACTTTCTATTTTAGTGTCCTCTTTCAAACACACCAAAATCAGAGGTGTCCCATTTTTTAATTATTCGATTAACAACTAATCGATTTTTTTTGTTCGCTGTGCTGCCATTTTTCCACCAATGAGAGTGCAGTACATGTTTGAAACGATCGGTGATGATCCTCTGGAAAAGTTAATGCTTATATCGGCATGATATAACCGATTGCAAATATTTTACTTTTCGGTTCGTTAATCGATTAATCGATAATTCGAATGAAAATCGGCCATCACTAGATGAATGTGAAACGTCATTTCATATATATGGACCGTACATATATAATGATACAATTAGAAAGGGACCGGGGCTCATCACAAATTACGTCCACACGGTAACTGAAATAAACACGAGTGTTCACCGGTTGGTTTAACTTCGAAAAATATACCAATTTTTATACATCATCTGATTGAGCTTCGTTTTCTGCGAACAACTATATTTTTATCATTCCCGTAGACATTCATCTCGATTTTTAAATCAAGATTTAAATTTTTGTCGTTGACACCGAGGGGGGCGACACATCTAAATCTTAATTCTAGATGCTCAAAAAATCTCACACTACCGAATCGATCTTCGAAAAATCATCTTTCATTTCTTGCATCTACTTCAGGGGGTAAGTCACTCTGCCACCTTGCGACTGTGCTGATTGTGTTTCTTGTGTGTTTTTGGGTGTTTCAGGATGTTTCTGTATCGAATGAGCTGTAAAAACGTCAAGCGGCAACATACAATGTTTACTGGCAACCATGACTTCCACATCGCTGAAAATGACAGATCCCCCTGCGATCGTCGTTGTTTATTGGCGTTGACGGTGACTCTGTATACAGGTATAGCTCTTTACTCCTATGGTAAAATCCAATAAGCAAACGACAGTCTGTGCGTGATACATGGCGGAATTGATGCACATCTTCGCACCGGACCAGATCGTGGCCAAGTCCCGTTTCTGGTACTTCCTGCGGCAGCTGCGTAAGTTCAAGAAGGCCACCGGTGAGATTGTCTCGGTCAAGCGTATCCTCCGCTGCGCGTGAAGAACTTCGGCATTTGGCTGCGCTACGATTCCCGTTCCGGTACCCACAACATGAACCGCGAGTATCGTGATCTGACCGTTGGCGGTGCTGTCACGCAGTGCTATAGCGATATAGCTTCGCGCCACCGTGCCCGTGCCCACTCCATTGACGAGTGCACGGATGGATTTGAGTTCACTCACTCGACAAAAAGTGACACAACAGCGGGGCCCTGTTTACTAAAAATGAACACATATGTGTTCAGTTTTAGTAAACAGGGCCCCGCTGTTGTGTCACTTTTCGTCGAGTGAGTGAACTCAAATCCATCTGTGCACTCGTCTATTCAGGTGAGTTGCTTTTTGGTAGTATTGACCCGGAAAGAATCACTGATGCGAATGTTTTCCCAACAGATCATCAAGGTCGAATCGGTTGAGGCCTCCAAGACCCGTCGTGCTCACATCAAGCAGTTCCACGACTCGAAGATCCTCTTCCCACTGGTGCAAAGATACCACCACAAGCGCTACAGGAAGCTGTTCTCTTTCCGCCGACCGGATACTTACTATCAGTAAACCAGGAGCCGCCGGTCATGTACTGTTAATTCCACTCTTTTTTAGGGAGTAAAAATGATGAAGATCCGTAAGAAACCATGTGAACATTCTTCGTGATTCGTTGAGAAAGAAAATCCGTGAGTGGAATAAAAAGTGGATCCTATTGGTTGGAGGAAGTTGGTTCAATGCTTCCCTTGAGAACAACTATTTTGTGAAGATGGATGAGTTTGAATTGGCGATTTCATGCCGCATTAAATTTAGCAATGACGGAAATTCGTAATTGAGTAATGCGGTGTGAACATTTCAAAAGGGCCGAATTGCTTTTGTAAACAATGGCTTTAAACGTCGATTGCTCGCGAATGAAAGCTCACAGCTGGTAAACTTCACCCCGTACTAAGTGTATAAGACTGGTAGTTCTCTACGGGTACGAGTCTGGGTCTGGGTCTGTCTTCAGAGATATCGTCATATTTGTCCTCAGGGCTGTACTCTAGGATGTCTTCGTCCAGAGGATTATCCTCAGGATTACTGTCCAAAAATTCGATAGAAACTAACAAGTTGCGAGAATAGAAAAATTTCCATTTTTTAACTAATTATTCTCTCTTCTGTATACAGGTTTTCCACTATCGACGCCCACATGCATCAGGAACAATTTATTTCCAAATATATTTATTTTATTATTACCTTGGGCAAGAGCATCGTTGTCTGCAGCCATGTCCTTAGCAGGGTCCTTATCGATGTGCTCATAGCTATAGCTGGGTCTATCTTCAGATACCGTCTGAGTTGTCCTCAGGACAGTACTCAATGATGTCTTCAGGGATGTCCTTGAGAGGGTCCTCAGGATTATTCTTCAAAAATTCGACAGAAACTAAACGGTTGTGAAAATAGAATAATAATTTAATATATAAATATGATTTCCAACGATATGCTTAAACAGTACAAGACAAAAGTATATGACCTGATTTTTTTTCTTCCCAGCAGGGTTGCTTCCACTCACTTGCTATAATTTTTTTCTTTGAATTATGAAATTATTAGATGTTGTAATGATAATTAGTACTTGTAAGTTACACGAAGTGGTTGCGCTGATTGTGACGCTTTGAAAGTGAAATTGACAGGTTTTATGGGTGAAACACATTTTTCAACTTCTTCTTGTGTGTTACAGGCATTTCTATTCTATACCTCAGAAAAATATGTTTGTAGCAAAGTGAGACGAAGCAACCCTTCTTCTTCTTCTTCTTCTTCTTCTTCTTCTTCGCATTTCAAGCTTATTGCATATCGCATGTTAGCTTATTGCGTGCTCTCAACTTAGTGTTCTAGATGCACTTCCACAGTTATTAATTGAGAGCTTTCGATGTCTGTACCATTTTTGCATTGGTATAATTGTGTGGCAAGTCCAATCATACTTCTATGCCCAGGGAAGCCGAGAAATTTTCTAACCCGAAAAATTCCTAGACTGGACCGGAAATTGAACCCAGCCACCTCCAGCATGGTCTTGCTTTGTAGCTGCGCCTTTACCGACTGAGCTAAGGGAGGCCCCTGCTTCCTAGAAAAGTGGAGTTACAATTCTTACTTTACTGAAATTTTGACTGTTGGTTGACCAACTATTGAGCAATTATCCACTTTGTCAAGCAGTTTTGGTGTGACTTTCTACCAGCGATTTCACAAAACTGGACTAAAAAATTACTATTTTTTTATGAAACGCACACATTTTGACTACTTTTCTCGTGGTTCTAGAAGAACCATATATCAGCTGATATACTTACATTGCATCATGACATCTTCATCTTCGTCAGGTTCGGTAGCATTTGTCGACTCAAGCTTGAGGTTGGCAACCAACGGAGACGGCATTGTTGATGAACATTGAGTCTCGGTGAAATGAGTCGTATCACCATTTTGCTGATGGTCGCTCTCGATCCCGATCGTGTTCTCTATATCGCCCATTTCAATTAGAGGAAGCTTCCTCGGAGGAGGTGAAGCTTCTAGGCAAGCGACATCTGACGAAAGGCGTTTGATGACTTCTGATGCCAGTGAATCATCGACAAGCATTATCTCTTTCCTGGTCAATCTACCAAGCGACTGATTGCATAGGTTAGACATGCTCAATATAGTTTTTATATGAGTATGAATGCTTCCATACATTCCTTCCAGTTTTTGCCAGAAGTAATCCTGCAATAAAATTCGGTGTTAATTAAAAATGCAGGTAAAAATGCTAAATAAAAACTTACCTCGTCCATGATGAACTTTAATAATATCACGAAAATAAATTTACAAATTTTAAAAACAACCCAGGAAATAACCGCAGAATAGAGATTAAAATACATGGTAAGTAGGGTAATAACATAGAGGTAACTCTAAGACCACTGGGTCCCGAAGAAAATCATTATTATTTTTGGCTCACTCAGTACCAGAACAACGGTCCCAAGCAGTCTCAAGCTATTTCACTCACCCCTGCATGTTCTGCATGAATCCACACACCCCTGATGTTATCTGTCAAACTTTCATAGCGAATCAAAACAAACATAGTGTAGTAATAGAATTTCAACTAGAATAGGGTACGTTAATCGTTTGCTTGGGACCAATGGGCTACTAAAGTGGTGAGCCAATTTAAAATCGTTAGTTTAATATTGATTGTTGGTAATAAGCTATATGAAAACCTACAGCAAAAAAATCACTGATATCCTCATAATATAATATCCATATAAATAAACCAAGCGTTCTTATTAATTTGGCAGGTTAGTTTGGTTTGTTTACTCATTTGAGAGGTTCAGATCAATAAAAAGCAGATCATACTGTCAAAAATGAATGATAAAATCAGATCATAGATTGGTCTATTATAAACAAAATATGATGTAAACATTCTTGGAAGTGGTGCCAGGATTGATGAAAAACTATCTGTTATGTGGAGACTGCCTGGATGGCAAGGTGTTTGGAGTGTGTCGGAGTGTGTTTTTGTGGGTGTTAACACAAGGTGGCAGAGTGACTTACCCCCTGCTCGGCATTTACTTTTATTGATATCTCTGCAAAATATCTGTTTGTTAGCTGATAACTCAGCAAAATGTTATTTGTTAGCTGAGTCTCGGCAATTGTTTTACTGAGTCTCAGTAATATAAATTGCTGAACGACTCGGCTGTTGGAATTTCGGCGAAAAAAATTAAGTGTGTATAAGGAGATTTCTATTCGTGTAAATTTGCCAAAAAGTATAGAGCTTTTTGACGTTTAATCGACGCACACTACTGTACCATTTAAAGCGCACGAGTGCGAGCAAGAGAGAAACAGATTAGTGGGAAAACAAACCGTCCATGCATCCATGTGTGCTAGATAGAGAAAGATGATTAAACGTCAAAAAGGTCTATAAGGAGATTTCTATCCGTGTTAGTGAGACTCGTTTCAGTGTAGCCTTTTGCGAATTTGGGTGAATGAAACTCAAATTTGAGTTGGTTAAACCATTTAGTTTACTCACTTTTGGGTAGGTTCAGTTTTGACCAATCTGGGTGCACCCATGGGGTTTTGAAATAGCGTGTAATCGGCCGCGGGTTTTATTTCCAATTAAATACCGATGATATGTTGCTGTTTGCCCCCTCGAGGGTGGTCACTCACAAAAACGATATGGTTTTGACAGTTTCGATTACGCAACGGCGCTCACGCGTGGCTGTCAAAAGCCAAAGTCTGCATGTTTTTCGGCGAGTTGCATCATACAACAGCGTAAAAGCCGCAGTTTTGAATTAGTTTGTTCTGTAAAACAAAACCTAAGTACAATTAACTAACTTTGAAAGATGGAAGACTTTGACGCCAGCAAAAGCACCGTCGATCCCGAGCTGCAGGACTTTCTGATGGCCGAGAAACAGAAGGCCCAACTGAGCGCTCAGGTAGGTCGACTATTTTCACCCACGATTTCGATGGTCACTAACTTCTAGCTCCCTTCCGGTAGATTCACGAATTCAACGACATTTGCTGGGATAAATGCATGGACAAACCGAGCAACAAGCTGGACAGCCGCACCGAGATCTGCTTGAATAACTGTGTTAATCGGTTTATCGACACGTCGCTGTTCATTACGACGCGGTTTGCTCAGACACTGCAGAAGAGCCAGTCGGGGATGTGAGCCGACATGGCGGTGGTGAGCGCGACCGGAGGCTAATGTGATCGGTCGAGAGAATGTATTTAAATTTTAAGAATTTAGAGGAAAATGAAGCCATTTCTCGAAGTGTTGGGAAATAAATAATTGTTAGACTGGAACAAATGCGTTTATGATTTTTATTTGCATTTTTCTGAATGATTTGCTACATCAATTGACATTAAGATAATCGGTGATACGACAGCCGTTGTTCACTTGGCACTTGTATAGTGCCTCTTAGGTATAGTAAAAGTTGTTCATATCACCAGTTGGCGCAATAGTTCTTTATTAAATACTCATAAGTACACCCTCTTTTGCAACATTCTTCGACAATGCCATTGCGTTTGTCAAGCATAAATCGGTCAGGAATGAATTCGTTGAATTTTTCCATTGCAAACATATGACTGTCTTCCGGTTGTTCCACTGCATATTGCCAATCTTGAGATGATAGGAGCGAATTGTAGTCATTCATGTCGACACCTTGGAATGTAAAAAAAAAAAAAACATTTAAATGTTCTGGGAAATATTGCGAAATATTTACCGTTCATCCGTTTGTTAGGCGGGGGTAGGGTGGGGAATTCCGAACACACATCTGTAAGCACTTTGGTTAATTTAGGGCCACACAATTTGTGTTTTTGCGATGAATGAACACTCTCTATGCCTGAAGCACAAATGAAACCAACTATCAAGCATAGCGTGTAGATGTTGGCGTTTAATGGAAGGTAGACCATTTTGCGGCAGCGACGATAGGAATAGGGCTTCACACTTCCGAATGAGTTTATTTGCACGGATGCTTGACGCTTTTATATGCACTTTTATGCGGTGTTGAGCAGCCATCAGCCAGGTACCGCAGAAAATGAATGGTGACAGCATCTCGAACAGTATGATGGGGAATTCCAGCACCCGGTGTTTGTTTTGGATTAGGTTTATATATAGCTCGCAGATCATCTTTGTGGCATGTTATTTAAAATTGATAAAACCAATGGAAGTAGTTTTGCGAAATGTTCCACTTTTCTTGCCATTTCTCGAAAGTGGCCAAAATCATTATTTTAATTTGACTCCAGAAAATGCATTTCAATGCAATAATAGTAATAGTAATCTGATTTAAGAAAATATGAACTTGAATAAATTTAAGAGTTTTTCCGCCAGTTTGTCTCTGATGGAGAGTAAGAGGGCGTTGAGTCTTTTTTGTGTGATTTAGTCGACGTCAAGGCCGTTAGTCTGGTCGATGATTTGGTTGTTAGTTCATTGCCCGTGGTGTGCGTAACTAACTTCTAATTTATTTTGGAAATTTCAAATGTAGTGGCTGCTTTGCTCGTGGTTCTAAGATAAAATTTCGAAATATTATAAATATAAATATATTTCGAAATAATATATATTTTTTCGAATTTTAGTGGTAGTAAATGTCGTTTCAAACTAATCGAATGAAGTCATTAATTCAGTGCTAACATTTCAAAGATGTGTAATTGCTTTTGTAAACAATGGGTTTAGCCGTTGATTTCTCGCAAAAAAAGCTCACCCCTCCAAATTAACAATGCTTGCTGGTAGAGGAAGCATTGCTGTACCTATTGGCGCCCTTAATTTTCATGTGTGAGCTTTTATTCGCGAAACAAATTATTGGAATATTGTTAAAAGTCTAACACTGCTTATTGACGCCAAACTCGGCCTACGGATTCTAAACTCGGCCTAACGCATTGAAACGCCAATGAATTTACTTCGGCCTATCGGATGAAGTTAAAGATTGATTCGGTCGGAGCGCTTCATTTGTTTTTGAGAATATTGGGTGCAAACATTCATATCACGCGTTCTCATTGACTTCGTTTGGTAGCTTATTAACTAAAGTATCGTACCAAACGCATAATTGACTTGTTAACGCCGAAATATTTGATGCTTTTTGCTTGACAGGCCCAAAATGGGCACTTAGGCCGAAGTAGTTCTCTACCCTACCGTCATCTTATAGATACTATAGATTCCATAGATAAGCGGAGGAAAAGTATAATGTAGCCAAACGAACTGTCAGTTAAGGGCCACCCACATTAGATCCGTTTGCGTTGCGTTGACGTAAATTTGACAGTTAGACAATAGATTTAGCTGTCACTTTGCCGCAACGCGTCCGATCCGGATCTAATGTGCGTGGGCCTTTAGTGTAGCCAAACGAGCATGACGTCATCATGGTGTTGTTTGAGGGAGAAGTATTGTAATATTATGAGCACAAAACGCTTTCCATACTTCACATTCCGTTTTATTTCGCGGACAACGGAAGAAGGAAAGATAAAGCAAACCATTCCTCGATACATTGTTGCAAAGATTTGCTTTGCACTTCATTTTGAACTTTTACGCACGAAACAAAACAAAACTGCTCAACGAAGAGCTCTACCCAACAAACATTTAATGTTGAATAAGAGCTTATTCAGGCAAAAACAAGCTTCTTCAGCTACACAATAGCTTATTCAGCTGTTGATCAACTCAAAGTGTTTGTTGGGTATGATGGCATGAACTTTTTTCACGGATGCCAGTAAGATCGTTTATTTTTCATGGTTGCCAAAACAACTTTTTGTGCCTCCGCTTATTTATGGAATCTATAGTATCTATCGTTCATCTAGATAAAAATTATAAAAAGCAAATTTTTTACGATGGGCCCAATAATCTAAGATCCATAGGCAAACTTTAGAGCAATTTCCCCTATGCGATCATTCCCAACATTTCTCACCTTAATGATTTTCTGCCTGGTAAATCCGGTGGAAGTGGGGGTGGAAGCAAAGTGTAGTGAAGTGTAAATTCCGTTCAATGGGAAGCTGCTTCCATGGTTGGCATATAGTTTTGGTCACGAACTGCTCATTTGCTGATAACTTTGCACACAGTTGACAAAAAATAGTTCTGTTTGAAGCAGTAGATAGAATAAAGCTTAAGCTTGTAATAAGTACGTACACACTTAATCTAGGTCGGTAAAAACTGCAACAGCCGATTACCTCGGCATTTACTTTTATTGATATCTCTGCAAAATATCTGTTTGTTAGCTGATATCTCAGCAAAATGTTATTTGTTAGCTGAGTCTCGGCAATTCCCGCATAATCAAACACTATTTGCTGAAAAGTACTCATTATAAATTTGACATAAAATATATCGTTACTATATGTGTTATCGACTATTTACAATCGGACTGAACTACTTCAATAATCACATACCACATACCATATTCAATTCCAAATTAACGATACAGCATGCAGTTACTTTTTCTCATAGAATGTTGGAATAATGTGTTATAATCTACTTCAGAATGTTTTGGGCTCGTAAACGCTAAATAATTTTAATTGGATGGTCACTGAAGCAATAACGTTAAGATAAATTTTCCAAGTAGCGTTGATTATTGTTATTGTTTACTGTATGCCAAATATTATTTGTGGCTTGTAACGTTAAGTGGTGACGTTTATGCTCATGTTCATAACATTGAACAAATACTTCTACACAAACTATGAGCACACTCATAATGTTTATCATATTGCGATTCGCTGCTGATACCACAAATAGTTTTTCTTTTTAGTAGTTGTGAGCTATTGTATATCGATTAGCATCGTTCGATTTTCTGCTGCTGACACCACAAAGGGTAAAATTTCTGAGTGGCGTTCATCGACAAGCTAGCGGAAAAAATGAAAAACCAGTCTAACAATACCACCACTGAGAAAGCAACTTCAGCTACCTGTTGCAAAACAAGGTAAAAGTGAGTATTTTTTGATATTTTTTTCACCTTACTTTTTTTTACAAAAAATCTACAATTCTAGAATCCCGCACTCCGGGCTAAAACAAACGCCAACAAGTGCAAGCTGCGTATGAGCTGAACGTAGCAGAATTGCGTACGTTGGAAAGTTAGTTGATTTGTAAGAAAAAATGAACAATCCATAAATAATGTTTACTTTAAATTTTTAGCTGCAAGCTGCACTTAAGGAACAAGGAGAAGCTTGCAGACAGAGCTGAGAATTAATTTACATATGAATCGCAAGATCCTCTTGTATCACCTGCATCAGAAGCAAAAGGCCCGATCATAGTATCGCAAGATTCTCTTGAAGCAGCACAAGGAGAATCAAGAATCGGCTACGTGTACCTGTCAGTGGTAGACAGAGCTGGGGACGCAACTGTCATTAAATCGCAAGATTTTCTAACTGATCTATCTACAGCTACACCTGCAGCAGAAGCCAAATACTCAAATAACATCGTATCGCTGGATTTAATTACGCAGGATTCTATTATTGTACCAGCAGAAGTTGTTGAGAATTGCAGGGTTCGGGACAATCTGTCAGGTTATTCGAGATGATGTTGCACCCGCATCTTTTTCGTAGCATTATCAGAGGCTGGAAATGGAAACTTAAACCAAATCGACTCACAGGATATTCTGAGCGACGGCAGCGAAGAGCTGGATCGAGGCTGGACCTGATTGATAAGCAAATGCCTGAAATACACCCGAAAACAGACGGACAAAGCGCGGTCATAGAATTGACAGTTGATTGGGTATCGAAATATCATGTAAAGCTTAATGAAGCTTAAAATGCTGAAAGCTTTTCTTTTGGAAGTTTTTTTTTTTTACTTTTGTGTTTGAGTGAAGGTGGGCTTTTCTAAGAATAAATTAGTTGCCAATGAAATAAATTGTTTTTACACACAATGAATCGTTAGCTTTGGCTGAATTCGATCTCACATCTACTGTCAACATGGTACCACTATACTAGCAGACCGCACTTAAATAATGGTACCATACTGTCAGTAGTTGTAAGGTTAAGATCAGTCATAGTCCCTGATCGAAGAAAAAAGAATAAATACAAACTATATGGGATATTGTAAGCCCTTATGGAATTTAATCGTTTGAATATAACTAGAAAATACACCATAATGTTAAATTACCTCAATGAACCATTTACAGAGTATAACGTTTACTTTCCTTTTAAAAACCAAGTTTAATAATCCAAATGTTCCAGAATGTTATGACATATAGTTTTATGATTTTAAAATTGATTATAAAAAAGCTATATGTCTTACAGTAAACCTGAAATTTTGTTCTAAAATATCAACCTTATGGAATGGTAATTATACTTAACCGCCATTATCCCATATAGTTGTTTTGCATATTACAATATATGATATCCTCAGGACAATTCATGGTATTATATGCTTATCATTTTTATACACGCTGACTAGAATCGTCCGGATATACTTATTTATGGTACGTAATGATACTGTGGATCATCCTTTTATTGTTTACGATTATGCGGGTTGTTTTACTGAGTCTCAGTAACATAAATTGCTGAACGACTCGGCTGTTGGAATCTCGGCGAAAAAAATTAAGTGTGTACGAAAAGGAAGATTTTAATTCTAGCAATAAACTATATTTGTTTTTGCATTGTAAAAATCAAAGGAGAAATGCTCGCTGCACATCTCGGACTTTAAGTCTAAAAATTAATTGGTGTTGATTCAAATGTTAAGATTTACCTGCTCTTTGCATATCTGTAGTAAGCTATGATCCTAATCTATCAATTACTTTAAAGAAAAACAAATTTCAACAACTGAGTGAAAAGTTATTAACAAATGAGCAGTTGGTGTGTACACAGTGTCGGAGGATTATGCGCAGCGAGAGAGTAATGCTACAACGTCTGTTGTCTGGAGGAAACGAGTAGGAACTAAAACTTTATTTTTACTGTCAGTTACATGAGGTCGTGTGCTGTAAGCTACACTGTATCAAATCTAGTAATTCAAATCATTAACTTT